TTTTCTGCCTACTGTTGTTTGGTTTTATTCCTTGAGATCTCACTCTTACGTGCATCAATTGAAGTTCAGATCAGTTGTTCACTTGGTAAGGTGCAGCTCCCGAGTGATTGCAATCTTACAAGCAGCTCAGGTATCTGACATGATGTCACAAAGTTTTACTCAGGTTTATCTGGCTAGACATAAGGATTACATTGCTTTTATTGCAGATACACTGTTTTGATGCTGCAACTCTAGAGAGGGAATATACTATTGTCACCAATCCTGTTGTCACGGGGTTTCCTGCTCCTGGAACCATAGGTGTGGGACCTCTCGCAGTAGGTCCCAGGTGGATAGCCTATAGTGGAAGCCAGTTTCAGTCTCGAATTCTGGTCGAGTCAATCCACAGCACCTTACTCCTTCGGCTAGTTTCCCAAGTCCAGCTCCAAATGGGAGCCTTGTCGCTCATTATGCAAAGGAATCAAGCAAGCAACTTGCTGCTGGTATTGTGACTCTAGGGGACATTGGGTACAAGAAGCTGTCGAGGTACTATTCTGAACTGCGACCAGATGGTAATAGTTCTCAGTCTGGGAGTGCTCGTGTAAAGGTGCCCGGAGCTGCTAATGGTCATTTTCCAGATGCGGACAGTGTTGGAATGGTATAAGCTACTCTTATCAACTGTCTTTCAAAAATGTTGGTTTAAATTTTTATGAAGTCATTTTTAGGCTTTTGGGAGCTTTGCCAACATTTACTTTTATCATCATATTAACTCTCATGCCGTGTCTACCGTTCTGTGGACATTTATGTATGTCCACACATTTTGGGCTTTGTATTTTATTATTTCTAATGGTGGTAAGTGATTACCGTTCAGTGCTCTATATATAGTGGTGGGTTTGACCAGCATTGAACTCTGATCTAACTTGTTTCATTTTGTGCATCTGCAGGTCATAGTCAGGGACATCGTCAGCAAAGTTCTTGTTGCGCAGTTTAGGGCACATAAGAGTCCCATTTCAGCTTTGTGCTTTGATCCTAGCACTACTCTTCTGGTGACAGCTTCAGTTCAAGGTCATAATATCAATGTATTTCGTATCGTGCCTGGACTATCTGGGTCTTCTTATGTCCATCTTTATACGCTGCAGCGTGGACTGACCAACGCTGTAAGTATTCCTAAGTTGCTTTTTCTTCCTTATTGAATTTGTTTGGTTCTTGAGGCTTGAAGTCAATTATTATTTCCTTTTGAAAATCTCAGGTCATACAAGACATAAGTTTTAGTAGTGATAGCCGGTGGATTATGATAAGCTCTTCTAGAGGAACTGGCCATCTTTTTGCGATATCTCCTTCAGGGAGATCAGTTGATTTTCACACTGCTGATGCATGTTTTAGTGCTTGCACTAATGGCTCTGGGGTGATGACAAAACCTTCAGCTCAGAGGACCATGAATTCTCAAGTGCTTAATCAACAAAGCATTTGTGGATCTAGCCCACCCGTGGCACTTTCTGCTGTTGGCCGAATAAGGAGTGGAGCTAATGGTTGGAAAAATACTCTAAGTGGTGCTGCCGCTGCTGCAACTGGAAACGTTAGCTCTCTATCTGGGTCCATTGCTTCAGCGTTTCAGCACTACAAAAACTATAACCAATATACAGATCCAGCCTTTCTAAAATCAAATTATCACTTGCTGGTTTTTTCTTCTCCTGGCTGTGTGATACAATATGCTTTACGTATGTGTTCTGGCCTAGATTCTGTTACAACCATTCCTGCAGTGGCTACAACATTTGAGTCAGGCGTTGAAGTTGATACCAGATTAGTCATAGATGCAATCCAGAAGTGGAATATTTTCCAGAAACAAAATCGCAAAGAGCGAGGTGGTAATATTGATATATATGGTGAAGTTGGAGATTCTGATAGCAGTAAAGTATTTCCTGAAAGCATAAAGGTGGAAAATGGTCTCTATTCCAAGACTAGGAACACAATCACAGAAGAAAAGAGAAGTTCTGATGAAAGACATCATATGTATATATCTGAAGTGGAGCTTGAAATGCATAAACCCCAGATTCCATTATGGGCAAAATCGGAGGTACTTCACTATTTGTATGGTACCTCAGTCTGTGTCAGTAAATCTCATGCTGTCATTGTGTAATGGCTGATATCTCCTTTGTGCTTTTGTAATTGTCTTGCAGATCTATTTTCAATCATTTGTTACAGATGGGATTAATGTAGGCGATGTCTGTGCTTTTAGAGGAGAGTCTGAGATAGAAGCAATTTCAACTCACTTAGTCGAGGCGAGATCAAAAGATTTAATTCCAGTTTTTGATTACATTCAAGCTTCCAAGACCCAGCAAGGGAGGTAATTAGTGTTTATTTCTGTTTGTGAATGCGTCATCCTTGTTATAGGAAGTTACCCAACTATTTGGGTCTGCTTGATGGTTTGTTAGTCGTGTTTTAAAACATGCATAAAGCTGAAATGTTCCTTTGGGCGGGCAATGACTGTTTTGTAGGTCATGTGTTAAATCGTTAGTTGTTGCACTGCTACATTTTGTAATGTTTTGCCCATACTTTCTTGTTGAAATATGGTTATGTTTTCTGAAGTTTAAGTGCTTGTTATTAGGGCATGTTTTAACAGTGACCATAGCCAGCAGTCACTTCCTAGGCTGGAGTTCTCTGGAAACTGCAATCTTATGGCTAATGGTGGTTATGGATCGCATCATTCTATGAATGGTCCCAGGAGCGAAGTTCACTGTGGCCGAGAAGTAACTGGGTTGGATGGTCGCCCAATGACAAGTCAAACAGCTAATGGCTTTGTAAATAGTAGTGAGAGCCCTAAAGCGGACAGCCGGCTTGCTTTTGTAAATAGTATGGAGAGCTCTGTGAAAGAGACACAGTCTAAGTTTGTAAATAATAACCTAGATGGCACAGAAATGGAGAATCATTTCGAAGATGAAGTTGACGACGTTGATTGAAGGTAACTGATTTTGCTTTCTTGCTTGTTTTCATCAGCTTTATGCATGCACTTTCAAATAAATGTAGGACACATGATAATAAGATTTTCCTCAGATCATTGAAGTCGTTGCACGCTCTCCCTAACTTCTGTAAGCTAAAAGAAGTGTCTTATTTTGAACATGGTGAGATGAATGAAAGCTAAAATAAGTATCTACAGTATGAGTTATCTCTGCTTCACTCTCATTTTTATGAATGAAAAATTTTCATTATTTGAAATTTCACTCTTTTTTGAATCTTGCAGTTGATTAATATATTGTCTTCATTATCTTGTCAGGTGTTTGTTATTCGTTGATTAAGTGGGAGGTCTCTGTAAGTGTTAATATTGGTGGGGGAAAATGTAGAGAAGGAAAGGGTATAGGTTTCCTTGACCCAACGAGCAAAGTCATGTGGATGCTCTGACTTTGTAAATATTAGACTCTGAAACTTGTCCAATAAATAGTTGTAATATGTAAAAATAATAGCTCGGATCTTATAACTTGTTGCTTTATTTGATTATTTTCGTTAACTTATATCTTAGTCTATCGTTAACAAAATATTTGGAGACAACGCCAAAAATGAATTACCTCGCCTGCGCTGTCGCTGCTCCTCCAGCTTGTTAACCGCGAATCCTTTTTAGTGAATTTTTTTTAGAACTATTTTTTCTGTGAATGAGTCTAAGGCGTAGTACGTGATAGAAATGGCATTTTAATAAGAACGTAGGAGTTCTTGCATTAGGAACCTTTTTTTGTTCAGTCAATTAATATTAGGAACGTCAAATACTATAATTATAAAGTCTTTGATGTCTAAAAAATAAGATTTACTAAATTGATCATAAAACTACTTATCAATTGTCATACTACTTATTTAGTACTGCTTAAGTCTAGAACATTGAAAATTTTGAAGTATAAAATCAGTAAGTTTCTATTTTTCACCTTCGCTTCCATTTTTAGTAGGAACCTTATTCCTCTAGATCAATGATTCAATTCACAAAAAAGACTAATCTTGAACGAAAGGTCCTTACCAAATGACAGGTGATCAACTAACGTTTCAATAACGAAAACGGTTAGATAACTCCTTTGGCTTGTTTTTAAGCATTAATAAAAAAGAGTTATTTTCTTCTAGAATATTAAAAATTAGTTAAAAGTTTTCACAGGAAACAGGTTTGAAAGGAGGATATAACTTATTATACCCTTAAATGATAAAACTTAAAACTTTCATGGGAAACTGATTTGGAAAGCAGTGAACTACAATTACCTTTTAGGATGAGTTGATATTTATTCAACCTTTGAATGAATACATGGTCCATACAACTTGTCAAATATTTTGACCCTTAAAAAACACATATTAAACTCACCCAAGTCAAAATGGCGTGCATAGATGAATAGATGATGATGTTAATTGCCTGATCAGACAAAAGACATTGAATTCATTGAGCATAATTGGATTAATTAAGCAAATAATATAAACTCTAGGAAACCAAACTCAATTCACGTGGAAGAGTATTAAAGTTAATCTCCAAACTGCCCAGAAACAAGCAAATAGTTATCTCTGGATAACTTTACCACAAATTATGCTGCTAACTTGTATAAGGCAGTGTAATATTTACAATAATTAAAATAGTCTAATGTTTCCAAAATAGGTTTAGCTCCAACAAACCAACAACTAGAGGCCTGACCCCACCAGGATTTAGATTTTGGAGTCACCCTGGTATGATGACTAAGGAAAAGAAAAGGAGAAAGACAGTGCGTCATTTTCCATTTTAGAAACTCTGTTCAATCAAAAGCCTAAACTTCTACATTGTATAAATCAAGCTTCTATTCTTTAACAACTTCATGTGGAGGCAAAGTGAAGCAACACCAAACTCTGCTACTACAATTCTTTATTAGTGTTGTGTCTCTTTCCTTCAAACTACTACTACTACAATTCTTGAGTTTTCTTTCATGTGAAAAATTAATATACAAACTTGGTAAAACCTGCATATGTAACCTCTATACTAAGCAAGGTTAGGTGATTGAAAACAACTCTACCACTCCTTTCCCTCTCCAAGTACTTCCTTTTACAGCATCTCTCTACAGAGGTCTTCTGCATTCTACTCAACTTCTTCTCTGAGTTATTGCCTAATGAATGACTAGACTAAAAGTACCAACATTTTGGTTATAGTCAGAGTTCAAGCACTGTGGCTTTTTTCTGCCTATTTTTGGGTGGCTCCTTTTCCTTTTGTTATTGAATGCTAAAAGCAATGCAGCTCCACATATCACCAAGTCTAAGGCATGTCACTGTTCTCCCTGCTAAAGGTTTCAAGGACTTTATTAAAGTAAAAGTTGGCTCCAAAAGATTATCGTATCGCATGGTCTTCTACTTCCTCCTGTTCCTTACTTTCCTGCTCCGGTTTGTCTTTGTGTTAACAGCTATAGACACCATCGATGGAGAACGAAAATGTTCGACCCTAGGTGCATCTCTCTCTCTCTTTCTATAGTGCTATATACAAGATTTGAAAAATATGTTCAGGTACATTAATTAAGCAGCATTAGGAAAAGGATAATGGAGGAATTTAGTTTCATGCATAATCTTACATAGTGTTAGCAAATATTCAGTTGCTACAGATATAACAGCTCTAGAAGCAGTAATGCTACCATCTCTTATAACATACTAGCAGTAATGCATAGTAAGTACATCGCGAAATATATGTGTTACAATGGAAATAAAAATAGCAAATGCATACTATGTTTTAGAGAGTCGAAGATAATCAGAACAATGTTGCTCAAGTTAGCTGTAGCTTGTAAAAGAAAACTAAATCTGTCCTTACTTAACTTACCTGACATTGAGATATTTGTGATCATCCAAATGTTCTTACTCATTTATGAATACAGAAAACTTAAGTTGATGTTACTAGATATGCATTGAATTTAAACTTGCCTTACTGAAGGAACTGCAGAATCTGTTAAATTTGGAAAGAGGATACTTAGAGATCTTTCTCAGGGAAGCGAACAGATAAAAAGTTTACATCTATTTCTGCAGATTAAAGGCTTGACACATATATCACCTTTCACTTTCCTCCTTTGTTTACTTTCATGGACGATAAGGCTGAAAATCATTCTGCTATATGCATTCTAAAAATATCATTTTACTACAGGTTGCTTGGGGAAAAAAATTGGACCAAGGATTTTGGGGAAACGGCTTGAATCAACTGTATGCTTCTGAGTCGTGTATCTTTTCCCTGTGCATAACACTGTGACATTCCCCTATTGAATAATGAAGATATCCCCCCTTACTAGTGCTTTTATTAGCTAATTTTGGGATTACATATTCTTGTCTCTTATTTACCTTGCATTTGCTAGGTTCCCGAGGTGATATACCAAGTATTAGAGGAACCTTCGGACCAAACTGAAATGCGAACAAGGCCCGAATCTCCTCAAACATTAGATGAGTTTATTGCAGAAATGAAGGATGGAAGACCAGACGCAAAAACCTTTGCTGTCAAGCTCAAAGCTATGGTATTATGTTCTTATCGTGCATTCCACAACATATACAGGAATATACATATAATGAAGCAAAAGGCCATAAGATATCGACAATTCAGACACTCTAGGCAAAAAGGAAATCCTATGATCAATCTAAATGTAAACAGTTTCTCATAATGTGACTGGTTCCAAGTCAAAGCCTGATTAGTGCATATTCCCTTTGTAGGTCACACTGCTAGAACAGACGACGAGAACTGCCAAAATCCAAGAATACCTGTATCGACATGTGGCATCTAGTAGCATCCCAAAACAGCTGCACTGCCTTGCTCTCAAGCTCGCGCATGAGCATTCCACCAATTCCAATGCCCGTCTCCAATTACCATCGCCTGAACTTGTCCCCGCCCTTGTTGATAACTCATACTTCCATTTCGTCCTTGCCTCTGACAATGTTCTTTCTGCTTCAGTTGTTGCTTCATCACTCGTGCAGAATTTCTTGCGCCCTGAAAAAATAGTCCTTCACATAATCACAGATAGAAAAACCTATGCACCTATGCAAGCTTGGTTTTCATTGCATCCTTTAACACCGGCTGTCATTGAGGTTAAAGGGTTGCATCATTTCGATTGGTTCACAAAGGGGAAGGTACCGGTTCTGGAAGCTATGGAGAAAGACCAAAAAGCTAGATCACAGTTCAGGGGAGGGTCATCAGCAATTGTGGCAAACAAAACTGAGAAGCCTAAGATCATCGCAGCAAAATTACAAGCACTCAGTCCCAAGTATAATTCACTAATGAACCACATAAGGATACATTTGCCAGAGGTAAGACACTGAAAGACATATATCTTTCACTTGAATTACATGTAACATCCACGAGTGACGGTAAATTCCCATTTTCCTGGATAATGATTATATACTGAGAATATAAATCTCTTTTCAGTTGTATCCCAGTCTGGATAAGGTAGTATTCCTGGATGATGACATCGTCGTTCAAACGGATCTTTCACCTCTATGGGACATTGACATGAATGGCAAGGTGAACGGAGCAGTGGAGACATGCAGGGGAGGGGACAAGTATGTCATGTCAAAGCGCTTCAAAAGTTATTTAAACTTCTCCCATCCTCTAATAGCAAGAAGCTTTAATCCCAGCGAATGCGCGTGGGCCTATGGCATGAATATTTTTGATCTAGAAGCATGGAGGAAAACAAATATAAGTCAGACATACCACTACTGGCTCGAACAGGTAAACTACAAGTGACATCAAAAAAGGTTTTTGTTTGCAAAGTTATCGAAAGTCATAATTGAACATTCTATCATAAAGTTTTGCTTTTCGTATGCAGAACTTGAAATCGGACCTAAGTTTATGGCAGCTAGGGACATTACCTCCTGGTCTAATTGCATTTCATGGCCACGTCCACGCCATTGATCCCTTTTGGCACATGCTAGGACTGGGGTACCAAGATAATACAACTGTAGCGGAAGCTCAAAATGCTGGTGTGATCCACTTCAACGGTCGAGCAAAACCTTGGCTAGATATAGCATTTCCACAACTTCGTCCATTGTGGACAAAGTACGTTAACTTCTCTGATAAATTTATCAAAAGCTGTCATATTAGAGCATCTTGAGTTGACCTGGGATAAGAGTAATGTTGATAAATGAGAGAACAAAGTTCGGTCACAGGAATGGAGGCCTCCAATTCCTGATGCAAGATGGCAATAGCCCTGAGCTTGACACCCTGGAACTCCTACTGATCACTTGAATTTCTGGTTCTCCAATGTATTTTATTTTGCAGTTTAGATTCTATACGGTATGATGGATTCTTTCAACCAAAAATGCTTATACAGATGGTAAAAAAGATACTATTTTCGTTCGCCGTGTTAAGTGTATTTCCAGGTCTATCAAGCAGGATTAGCAAATAATTAACATATGATGATATATTGGGAAATGAAAATACTACACAGACCAAAGGATAAAGTGATTGCAGTACATAGCTTCCACCTCCTTCCAGTAAGAATTAACATCTTGTTTTATCTTGACTAACAGTAAGTCAACTATTCCACAAAATTTGAAAACAAATCATATTATTGTGCAAAGATACAAGAGAGCATCCCTCATTCGAAAAGGTTTTACTTCCACAAACCAAATATTCTTATTAGAGGAGACAACAACAACATACTCAGTGTATTCCCACAAGTGGGGTCTGAGAATGGTAGTGTGTACGCAGACCTTACCCCTACCTTGTGCGGGTAGAGGGGTTGTTTCCCATAGATCTTATTAAAGGAGACAACAACATCAATTAGACAATTACTACGTCTCAACCCCAAGCCAGACTGTTTAGTTGCTTAGCCATACGATGAAAGTTTGGGAGAGGGAGGTTGAAGTGAGGGTGAGAAGCAGTGTGTTCATTTCTGAGAACCAGTTCGGTTTCATGCCGGGACGTTCGACTATGGAAGCTATTCATCTGGTGAGGAGATTGGTGGAGCGGTATAGGGAGATGAATAAGCACTTACATAGGGTGTTCATTTACCTAGAAAAAGCTTATGATAAGGTCCCGAGAGAGTGCTTTGGAGATGCTTGGAAGCTAAAGGGGGTCCCAATAGCCTATATTAGGGGTGATTAAGGACATATATGATGGAGCTAAGATTCGGGTTAAAACGGCGGGAGGAGACTCAGAACACTTTCCAGTTGTGATGGGGTGCACCAGGGATCAGCTCTTAACCTATTTCTATTTTCCTTGGCGAAGGACGCATTGACGCGACACATTCAAGAGAGGTGCTGTCACGGGGGCGTTTTTAGTCATCCTAAAGTCACGCCCGTGCAGCAGTCAAGTTGCGCACTTGACTCAGCCTTTTCCAACACTTAGCCAAATTTTCAGCAAGTTTGGCCTTACACGAAATTAGGCAGCAAATATAAAGAGAACACAATCAAATACGGAAAAATCCCAACCTTTGAATTAATTCGAAAATCTACAAAGGAAACCCTCACTTTGCTATGAACACAAGTCGTCCACAGCCCACTTCGTCTAGCCAAGATCACCAGTCAATCTTGTACACTAAGACCTGCCCAATGCCCAGCCTTAGTCCCTTTTTGAAACACTTAGAAATCCTCACGTTTCTCTCTTGTATCCCTTACTGAATTTCACACAAAATTCTCACTTAAAATTTGACTAAGTCCAAAGGCGCCTATTTATAGCACATAGGCAGCCTTTGGGACTTGAGAGCACATGGACACTTGTTGTCTACAGCTTTTGCCACTTGGCGGGCTATTGCTAAATCTGATCCTAACTTGTAGTTGACATACCCAACTACATAGGATATTATCTCCACGAAATGATAGTGGATACAAGCACTAAACAAACATGGGTACAAGTAGTTACAAACAGGTAACCGCCCACTACTTTGGCATGTGCACTGCATATGCCCTTTGACTTGGTCAGCTATTGCACGCCCAAGGCTGGCATTGCGCCCAGCCTTAGCTCATTTTGACATTGCTCCGCACCAATGCCTTGCCCGTAACCTGCCGCCCATGATTTCTCCACACACGTCTGACGCCAATGCCGCCCGCACATGCCTTGGCCGAGTTTCTGCCTTGCCCATATCAACACTTGTTTCACCCGTGCCATTCCTTGTCTTTTGCTTCACATAGCCTTGCCTTAGATATTTAAATCATTTTCCATCATCCCGCACTGCCGTGTTTTAGCTTAGCCCGCACTTGGCGCTGCCACAACCTGAAGTGCCCGTGTCATTGACTTTGGGGCGTATGCCATGCCATGCCGCCCCAACTTGCCCACACTGTCTTGTCAAGCCTTTGCCAAGCATATCTTGCCTGCTCCAAGACCTTAGCCAATACTTGCACACAACAACCCACATGACAATGTCTTGTCCATTGCCCGCATGATCATTTTACACGCACATAGGCCAATGACAAGGTTATCACGCCCAATCTTTACCACAGTCGCGCCACGCCCAATGTCAAAGAGTCGGGCCCTTAACATGTGCCATGGTATATGTTATTTGTTGATGACATAGTTCTGATTGACGAGACACGAGGTGGTATTAACGTGAGGTTGGAGGTTTGGGGGCAGACCCTAGAGTCTAAGGGTTTCAAGTTGAGCAGGACCAAGACAGAATACTTGGAGTGCAAGTTCAACAACGTTACCCGGGAAGCGGACATGGGGGTGAGGCTTGGTACACAAGTTATCCCTAAGAGAGGTAGTTTCAAGTACCTTGGATCTATAATATAAGGTAACATGGAGATTGATGAGGATGTCACGTACCTTATCGGAGCTGGATGGATGAAGTGGAGGCTCGCTACTGATGTCTTGTGTGATAAAAATGTGTTGGTGAGACTTAAAGGTAAGTTCTACAAGGTTGTAGTTAGACCGACTATGTTGTATGGCGTAGAGTGTTGGCCGATCAAGAATACTCATGTATAGAAGATAAAAGTAGCTGAGATGAGAATATTAAGGTGGATGTGTGGGCACACCAGGTTGGATAATATTAGGAATGAAGTTATTCGGGATAAGGTGGGAGTGACTTCTGTAGAGGAAAAGATGCGGGAGGCGAGGTTGAGATGGTTCAGGCATGTTAAGAGGAGAAGTATAGAAGCCCCAGTCAGAAGGTGCGAGAGGTTAGCCTCAGTGGGTATCAGGAGGGGTAGAGGTAGGCCTAACAAGTCTTGGGGCGTGGTTATTAGGCGGGACATGGCGCAACTGGAGTTGACTGAGGACATGACCCTAAATAGGAGGGTGTGGAGATCGAGGATTATGGTACAAGGCTAGTAGGTAGTCGAGCGTATCTCTGTCTTTCCAGTTCGCTAGCATTAGTGTTAGTATGATATCCTTTTATTCATAGATTGCTATTATTACCTAGAGTTTAACTGCTTCTTGGTTTTAGTATTTTTATCTTGTTGTTATTCCTTCTTGTTGCAATTACTTTTGTCATCCGTTCTCCAGTCGAGGGTCTATCGAAAACAACCTCCCTGTCCTCAGTGGCAGAGCCAATTGATACCCATTCGTCCGGAAATTACACTGTGTAGTTTCGTAATTTTTATTTTATATGTATATATTAATTACTATACGTTGACTCTCATTTACTTGTTCGTGTGTTTACTTCTTTATATTTTGACACCCCTTGAAAATTCTGGCTCCGCTACTGCCTGCCCTTCTAGGATAGGGGTAAGGCTGCGTATATCTCACTCTCCCAGACCCCACTTGCGGAAAAATACCGGGCTTGTTATTGTTGTTGTTGTTGTTGTTGATAACCCAAGCTAGGCTGTATGAATATATCATCTGCTCTATTTGGGCTTTGTTTCATTTCGGTACTCAAAAGTTTATCTTTTAGAAGAAATTTACTTCTCTAACTTAAGAGATTCTCTACATTTTTATGGGTATACAGATATCTAAACAAATTAAAAATACTAACTGGAGATTCAACCTGAGGCAGAGAAGTGAAATCTTTTGGCTCGTGTTTTCTCTTTGATCCCGCTGTTGTACGTACTAATTTTAACACCTAATTAACAGTAACGTCTAACGTCCGGTCCTCTTGTCACGGTTGATTGCATGCTCAATTTGAACTAGGGCTAAAAAATGGATGAATTCTTTAGTATTCTTGAATGTGGTATTACGGCCGCCCTTTCCCTACGTAACTAATCACAGACGAGAAAAAACAAGGACTAAAAATCCCACCCTTATCAAAGGATGGGTTAAAAAGTGAAGGGACTAAAGTTCGATGGGTTTCTAAAAATATATTCGGTCTCCAATTTGTACAGGTTATTTCTCTCTTAAAATTGTTGATGCTTGGAACAATATTATTACAACAACAACAACCAGTGAAATTTCACTAGTGGGGTCTGAAAAAATAATATCAAATAATATTATTGTGTTCGATAATTATGGATAGGTTAGCGCAGTTGCACATGCAAAGTATCCCCATTCACGTAAGGTCTAGGGAAAGGCCGCACTACAAGAGATGTGACGTAGATAATTTACCCTAATGCAAGCATTAATAGCTGCGTCCATGTATGGCTCGAACCGATCGTGGTCTATAGGTCACACGGAGACAACTTCACCGTGTTCGACAATTATGTGATATCAAAATTTCATTCATTCAAGAAATTAGAACCATAGTTACACATTGCTCCAAAAACTGACACTGCCAAGATAGTCTTAAAAACAGGACGGATCCACCTTGCGGTTTACGGGTTCACGTGAACCCAATAACTTTTGTTCAAACAGTGTAAATATAAAATTTACTCGAGATTGTTGCAGGAACCCATAAACATCAAATTCTTAAATCCTGAATCCGCCTCTGCTTAAAAACATCAACCAAAGATGGCTAAAATTGTTTTTATAATCAAATGGACCATTAATTGCTTCTCTTGATGAGTAAAAAAAAAGTTAAAGTACAAAAAACAAAAAGATATTCATTCAGCAGGAATAGAAATACGACTTGTTACTGCAGAAAACCTTAGTATACAAATTTAATTTGTCCGAACTACATCAAGTTTATATTATCTCTACTATATGAACGATTAGCAAGGGAACGTACATTCTTCAAGTAATTTTAAGATACCAAAAACATACCCAAATTCTCTTCAAGTCGCAAAATAGAAATTGCCAAATATAGTAAGATCTATGATGGTTTTACACGTTCAACTAAAGTATTCATTCCTTCCATCTACGTATACATATACAAGAAAAATTATAACCTTAAATAAGATTACTCTCATTCTAAATTCACTGCGGGCGCCTCTCGTTCAAAACATCAACGAACTTGTAGAGACAACCTCCGCTGATCTTGTTTCTGCCAGTGCAAGGAAGATTTGGTAGCAAGTTTATTAGCGGCGGACAAAGTGGCCTTAGGATCGAACTTC